CAAAATTATTAATTGCGCTTGATATATTTCAGGTATCCATTTCTATGTAGTGAACTGCACCAGTAGATATTTATTATATTTTTTTAATTAAATAATATGGGTGGGTATATTAAGTTTATAAAGTTGTTAAAAATATTTAATTCGTTTATTATACATAGAGTAAATAATAATATTATAAGTTATTTTATTACATCAGCATAATTATGGCGAGGTATCATTTTTACATATTCAGTCCTCGTGATGTTATTTTTATTATATTACTAAACAATTTTTTCAATTTATTTTGTTGATTTCATATTTTGAAATTTATAAATCTCTTTTAATATATTAATTTTTATATAAGTTTCAGATTGTAACTCTATTATTTTATACGTAAAATTATAAATATGAGGACGAAGAGTACAAAAGCTTTTATTAAAATGTCCATAAAAAAATTTAGTTGTCAGAGTTTTTGTCGCAAAAGCTGATACCCAAATATTCGAAAGAAAGTTAACAAAAAAATTTTTGTTCAAAACATAACAAGAAAATTGTTTGCATCGATCTTCAGTCATTGTAGGCATTAATTCACAGTTAAAATAATAGCAAACATTTTCTGGCTATAAAAATACTATTTCAAACACAAGTAATAATCAATATTTAATAAAATATTAGTTTGATTTATACTCTAAACCTTACTAACTTTTTTAATTCGTCTCCGCCAGGATATTGTTGGCCAAAAATTTAACCAAGCAAAATTAACAGATTTTTCAAAGTCAATAACCATTGATTTAGGTTTCATCATATTATACCGGTTTTCAGTACATATTTCTTTCAATATTCGAAAAAATGTATATATATTTTAGTAAATTTATTTTTTAATAAACCAAACACCAATGGTATATAGCGTTCGTTAAAATATCCATAAACATTAAATAGTTGAAGGAAGTACTTAGCAAAACATTTCAATGTATTATCTACAAATAATATTTCTAAATGTTATCTACTTTTTATGATTACGAGTTCACTATTTAAGTTAATATAGAGAAGCATATTCTCTTCTTTCAAGCTTTTATACTGCATTAAGTTTAAAGCCTTCTGAATAGATTGAGTTGTACTTGGTAATTGAGGTTTGCATTAAACATATTATTTTTATTTTTTTTTTTTTTTGATACATTTGACATCAATAACCTTAATTAAACTCGTATCTCGAATGGTTGTTATCCTATTAAGTGTTTTTGCTGGTTTTTCACAGATATTTTGGGTTGCTTTCTGCTTTTCATTAGCAAACACAGTTTTTCGTTGTAATTTTTAAAAATCTATGTCATAATATTATGATTTACATTTTTTTCAGTAATATTATTGTTTTCTCCCATCGTATTCAAAAATACTCTATACTGTTTTATACTGTATCAGTGACTTTGTTTCACTTGAAAATAATTCAAATTTTAATTTTTAAAATTTATAATTTTCATAGATTATAACTATATTTTATTTATAGCTAAATTCAGTACATATATTGTATGTTTAAGGAACTAATGCACGCAAATGACTTACTAAAATGTTACCTTCGTAAATTCGTTGTAGATATATAGTCATTAATATCGCTAATATAATAACGATAATAGCGATATACTTTCGGCTTTTCCACCAATAAATAAACTAATAAACAACAGTATTTAAAATAAATAATATCAATGAATTCAATGTCACTTAGATACTATGGGTGCAACACTATATAACTATACTATTTTTACTACCTGTTCAATGTAAGCGCAATTTTCGAGTGTTTATCGTCCACCACATGAATTATATTCTTACAGGTAAAAGTTATAGAGTATGGGATAAACACATTTGCTTACGATTAACATAATGGTATTTATTATTTGGAAAAGAAAAAAATAAAAAAATACCGAATCCCTGGTATTATAGTAAGATAAATCCCAAGAGAAAATCCACCACATTTCATGGGACTTTAAGCTTTGAAGAAATGTACGTATTATCCTACCTTTAGTATGAAAAGTATAAAGGGCCTTAGCGCACTCGAGTCTCAACATATTATACTCTTTTTAAAATGAAAGACAATCCTTAGAATTATAATGTACTCAAATCCATTGCGTTAATACTTCTCTTACATAATATATTTAGGATTGATCTCTACGTTTAAAAATAAAACTATATAAAAACAGAATCTTGATTATAATTGTGTTTATCTGATAGAAATAAAAACTACTTTAATAAAGCTTCAAATATAAAAATTAATTTAAAAAAATTAAACTTCATTAAATACAAAAAGAAAATGATACATTATAATTTATTATCTTAAGATTAAACAAAAATAATATCGATCAAAATTAATTATTTTAATTTAGTCACACATTATTTTTAATATTATACTAATACAAACATTGAATGTTATCAGAACAGTGTATTTTCTTATTCTAATATATTCTATGCTCAGATCGAGAGTATGTTGTTTTTTTTTACAAAACATTATCCTAACAAAATACATAATTTTAGTATAATTCTCATTTTCTGAAATTATATAGAATGAGATATTCCAATTCAATTTAATAAATTATACAACTTATTATTATATGATACAGTATAATAGCCATGTAGTATAATTTAATTGTAATTTTAGAAACATAAATTAATATGCATTTAATTCACTAAAATTATGAAAATGTATTCATTAAAATGAGTACTTAATTTAAAATATCTGCATGTTTCCTGATTTCTAGCTCTGTAGTATAATCATCCTAGCCTCTAAGTTGTATACCATATATGTATTTATTTTCTACCCTAAATAATTATATATGTATACATTTGTACTACTATCAAAAATTACTATACGTATTACGCAGAGATTTTTCTTTTTTTTCCAAACTGTTAGTGTGGTTTGTTTCATTTTTGATAATAAATCGTTAAGTTAATATTATTTATAAATAATAACTCCTTAAAGAAACAAAAATCTTCAATATTTTTTTGCACATGGGTCATTGACTATCAAGTAATAAGTACTGTAAGCAAAAATATCCAATTATAGTTTGAAAGTTTTTTATATTTTACATTAATCATTAATTTAATTATATTTTAAATTATATTATGTATAATGATTCGACTTGTGTGAGTGGATTTCAGGATAACCTATCTTATTATAACTTCAAATTGGTATGATAAAAATAACAAACCAGGAAAAAAATATAAAATATCGTATAGCGTTTAATTGACTATTCGTTGTAACAAAGGTGGCCACCATTCAGGGTACCTACTATTTAATTTTTTTACGTATGTAACTAACTATATAATAAAAATACATCAGTATATTATGCAAAATTCAAGATCACAGTACAAAAAAATAACTTGTTCCAGTATATTTTTTTAATTACGACTGTCAATGAGATAATAAATAAAATAATTGTTTTTGTGTTTTTTTTTAATACCCTTAAATTGAATCAAATATAATAAGTGTTGCATAAAAAACAAACAAAACTTCTCATTACACCATATTACAGCTAAACGTTTAAGTGAACACAATGCGTAAATAACCGTAAATCTGTAATTACATTATATTAATAAAATTGCCACTAAACCGTTACTAAACGTCTGGTGTGAATCAAGCGTTAATGGATGATAGTTTATTTTACAAGACTTCGGACATAAATCATTGCCAGCCCACTCGAACCTTTTTGGCAGGTATTAGTTGATCTTCGCTTCTCTCGATGTTGACGCCCCACCAACACTGTTATCGCCGTCACAAGATGATGCAGATGTTAGCGAATTTTGCCCATCCAATCGTGATCGAAATCGCCTCGCAGCGTTCGCATTCCGCTCTAAATAGGAATCCATTGTTTGCTTTCTTTTCCGTAATCGATCGGATATTGTAGGTACGCGTAAACTGCAAAATACATATATCATTTATATATACGAAACCAATTAAAATTATTTCTCTTGCTATGATGAGTATCTTCTATCTTCGAAATAGTAACTAATTATTGATTATATTATTGTCTTTATATGCTAATTGCTAGTACATTTTTATACCTAACCTATAATATATACATTATTTATTGTTGGTTTGACTTGTTTGTGTTGCAAATTTTAAAACATTTTCCTAATTATTATGCATACGACAGCTTTACTTTAAAACAAAAAAGTGTTCTTGACTAAAACATTGTGGTTGAATACGTGCGTCATTTGAATAGAATCCGAATATATCCCGAAAACAGTTGTATTTACTAAACAACTATGATGAACTTATACTAATACGTAGGTAGTTAGGTACCTACCTATAACTACCATCGATCTACATGAATACGTCATCTAACAACTTCAAAAGCTTAATTCAATGAAATTTAAAATATAAATTTAAATCCATCACCTATTTTTATTTGATGTGATTTACATAAAATAAATCTTTCAAAATTATTAAAAATTAAAAATACTTAATCTATAATTGATATTTTGCACATAACAAAAAAAAATATTGAGTTAAAAAATTATTATTCGTGTCTTATAATAATATAATTTCCTAAATAGAAATATTTTGTTATTTTAAATTATGAAAATATCTTGAAATTAACCATATTTATATATATGTACCTACAATGCACAATTTAACACTTCTGTGACAACCAGGATTTGACCTTAAAGAGTAAAAAATTATCCACAAACAACATTACCCTAGAGACTAAATTAAAACATAAGACCAAACTAAAATGAATATAAATTGACCTTTTAACACTGAACAATTTATAGTTTAGAAATATTATTATGTGTAAGATATTTTGATATGTATCGCGTATATTACTACATTATATAGTAATTTAATAAACATACTTTAGAGTTTAACAAATTTAATTTAAAATAAATGTCGATAATTATTATTATATTACGTTTTAATAGTTATTATAGAAGTTCTCGCCGTTTAAAAATTCTAATAATGTACTAGTATGAAATAGTTTTTAACAATTCTAATATTGGAATGTAATAACAAAAATGAAAATATTTCATTATTACAGAGTGTCCACCCACCGAAGATGGATTTGAACGGTTCGCTTGTCCCTCTCCAGACAAGGAAGGACGATTCAGGTGCATAGATGATCACGTTTTGTGTGACGGATACATTGACTGTCCAAACGGTGACGATGAAGATAGAAAAAATTGTTTCTTTTTCAAAACAGTAAGAACAAAAATAATAATTACAAGCTTAATCGAATGCAATTCGTTTTGGAAAGGAAAGGAAAAACACTATCACATTAATCAATTTAAGAAAATTCCATTTTAATGCTAAAATAATTTGATTTCCTACCCCATTACTTGAGTTATACATTTTAAAGATACTACAAGAAAAAAATACAAAGAATTGCTTAAATAAAAGAGTTTTTGATAAAGCCTTTAAATTTTAACACACAAAAAATAAATTAAGTATATTTTTATTTAAGATTTTACAGGTTGCCAACTTCATTTAAATATAGAATTACAAATAAAAATGGTAATTTGTACCTATACATTTCATTTTATTTTTTTATAAATAAATTAAATAATTGGTTATTTAAAGAAAAATACAGTACAAAACATACATTGAAAATATTCGTTAAAAAAATATTAAGAATTAAGTTTCAAAGTAAGGTAAAGTTTGTAAATTAAATAATATATTAAATATTTCATACCCATACTATTTTCACAAACTTTTATTTTCTGAAAAACTATTTCTATTGCCTACATTGAAAATTAATCAAGGATATTGAATCGAAAAAATTATAACTACATAAAATATTATTAGTATAAAATATTTTAAACTTTTTAAAATTAACATTTTTTCAGACTAAAGCTCATCTGGACATACTAGCAGACGCTCTTCTACGATGGGCAAGAGGACGCTAATCCAAAATTTAATTTAAAATAATATCTTGATAAAATAGCTACGACAATTTTAATCAGAAACAATAATTTCATTCGACAAAATAACTTTTCTTCTATAGGTTTGATTGAAAAATATTTTTTTCCCCAGAAACTTATTGAAGTTACTCATAAAATTTTTTCAATAATTCGCGTGCAAACAAACGACAAAAATAATTTACAAGATAAAATGGAGGCCTGGAATATAAAACGCTTTTTGGCGTAGGTACTACTACTACTGATGTTACACCGGTAAACATTTCAAAAGTCTATTAAATTTTATTAACCACGTTTTCCTCTTTTAAGTGCTCATAACATTATAATTTCATTTAATACTACCGAGTTCCTACAATAGTTGTTGTTACCAAGCATGTGTCATGTTGATATATTTTCGTACGGGTTGTATATTAATTTATTGATTTTTTTTTTTAACTCTATCTGTGGTCACTGATCAATCAGATCTGTGAATGAGATCGCAATAAATTATTGTGTGTTAATTTAAATCGTGAATAATAGAATCTGTAAATATTATTATTACTACTACTATTATTATTATTATTATTATTATTATTATTATTACTACTATTTTTATTATAATATTAATTCTATTATATTTATTACTAAATTTTATTGTTCAACCTATGCTTCCGCATGTGTTTTTATTGTTCCCACAGCCTTTTTTAGATAATAATACACTAAGACGAGTTTTTTTTAAAAAAGATACAAAATATTCATTTTTATTAAAATTATACTTGACAGTTTATTAAAATTATACACGACTTTTTATGAGAAAAAAAAAACTAACCTTTCAACACTTCTGCGTCTATTATTATCATATTTTGTATTTATTTACCCAGACATTGCATGTGCCTGTTCTACCCGAGTTTGTTTAACCCTATTTACCAAAAATATCACATCACCTAAATCCTATTTATTATACTTTGACGGTACTATAGCTTTGAATATATCTTAAATATGGACGAACTAAAAACACAAGGTATACTCGTATGTATTTTTAATGAACTTAACAAATTTATGAAAATCCTCGTGAATGATTAGCGCCAATCCCTGTAGTGTAGGTATGTGTATTCAACCTATTAAATAGAATGAAACATGCAGATTTGACATTTTTACATAATGATAAAAACAACATCGTAAAGGTAAGTAATCTATAATTTAATCAACAACTGCATCATATTTTGGTATTTTAACGTCTTAGTGTACGTCGTTATTTGTTTATGTGCTCTTGTAGAACACCAACAATACCTCGCTTTTCTTTATCAGAATCATAGATACATGTTAGACGTTATTATTATAAAAGCTTTAGAATATATAATAATAATAATATCATAAACTAATGAAAGTAATATTCCAAAATTATGAAAGAAATTTAAATTAAACTAATAAAAAATCGCACTATTTAAAAGCATATTATCCAAATTCTGCATTTACAAATTATACTTGATTCATTAGCGTACAAGCATTACATAATAATATACTCAATCCCATAATACTATTTTTACATTTCATTTAATTCTTCACATTATACATTTTTTATTATCCTAATTATCTACTAATAATTAACAGGATAAAGATATTACATTTTCACAACAGAATATTCTCCATATTTAAAAATCAGTGCACTGACATCATTATTTTATTATTATATTACATTAATATTAAACTCCTTTCTCGTTTAATATATGTTAATATTAGTTAAAAATAAAACACTTCAAAATTATTAATTTTTTTAACTTAAATAATTACAGTAAAACTTGTTTAATATGGAAACGATTAAGAGCCGATATTTTTTCAGTTTTCTATTGAATACAGATTAGAGACAAAAATTACAAAGAAAGATTTTCATTATTTTATATTTACTGATTAAGTATCTATTATTACATTATACCTACTTTTTATTATAATTAAAAATAATGTCAAAATCAAAAATTATCATTATATAATATTTCAAAATTGTATTACATACTCTTCCTAAATTCTCCCAATGACTTGTCATTCAAATTATACATACCTACCGAAAATTTTGAATTATATATTATTATTTAAATAATTAATTTTTTTATAGACATTTATCCATTGATCTTTAATTTCCTTCTTTTTTATTTTTGGTTTAGTGTCCACATAATACACTCGACTTTTTTCACATTTTAAAATTTCACAAATTAGTTTTACTTGTTACTATAATTTAATTAAACCAGTGGCGTAGGTTATTTAAAGATTTGATACCTTGAGTAGTTTAATTTGTTCTCACAAAACTCAAATTTTAATACCTTTTTCTATGGTCATGACAACAATATTAAAATTAAACAATTATATCATAATATTATTTTATAAGTAGAATATAATATAATGTTAAACATTTACGTTAAAATATTTAATTATTTTAAAATAAAATAAAAATATTATCTAAATAAAAGAAACATAAATTAAGATTTTCTTATGATATTTTTGGGTAGCAAAATCTTTAATGACCTCAATATAACTGATTTTGTTATCTAACATAATTCTTTATCAAAAATGGCTATATTATTTAAGTTACTATCGTTCATCAAAGATCTTAAGTAGGATTTTGCTCTTTTTTTTACTAGAAACCAAACAACATAACACAAACGTAATATAATATCTTCATGTAGGTAAACATCTGATACATTGTAATATTTAATGACTTTTCAAAATTCTAAATGTATTTTGCCAACACATTTTCTAGGAAACTTATCCATAGAAATAAATTAATTAATTTATAAATTATTCATCAAAATCTTCAGACTACTAGTATTGTTCCGATAGCAACGAGGTTCTCTGAATTTTCTATAGAGTAATTACGTACCTATGGATGAAGTCATCGCTACTATAACCGTTATCGTGATTTATAAATAATCAAACTTTATTTCCAAAACTCTGAAATTTCAGAATGTATATAATTTAAAGCTACCTATACTCTGTCTCAAACTAAAATACACTAGTTTTGAGCACTTTTATTCCCTTCCATAGGTCACCACCTATGTCGTTATATATGGGATATGCGAGGGGCCGAACGGAAATCAATCACTGCTTGATACTTTGAAACGAGTATAGGCAGTAAGCACAACTAATGTATTACATGTATAACATTTGTTCAATCATTATATTCAATTAAAAATAGTATGCACCTTGAAATTCGTTGCACTCTCTTCACACCACAAACACGTCACTCAATTTAACCCTACAACACTAAATGAAATATAAACAGATAGTGACAAAATAATTTATATGATTGATATATATATTAGGTAAGAAAAATTAATTGACTAATAATTTTAAAATTAATTTATCCATCAAACACAGCCATACAGGTGCTTGGTGCATGATGAAATGTGATTTCCATTACCACATTAAATAGGTTCCATTTTATTCAAGAAATTATGTATTTAAAAATATATTAATCACCGGGGTTAAATAATTTTTCCATAAAAGATAAGTTTCCGTGTTATTTAGGTTTCATATCACACAGGTTTTACTGTATTAACAAATGCACTTATATTTTAACACTTCATACATATTAAAATATAAAATATTTTCTAAAAAGTTTTATATAAAAAATTATTATATGTGATTTTTAGTTACTTAATATATATATGTGTATATTTGTTTACATAATTATATAATTATAAATATATCACATTTTAATCATAAATACTTATATTAATAGAGAGGGTATTGACGCTTATCAAGGTTTAAGGCTTAACGTGACAAATATACCTAGTAAAAATTTACTGTTGTACAAAAATGAAAAGGTAGATATATGACTTTACGAACCCCATAATCCAAGTACACCAAATATTAATGTATTGGTCACAAATAATAATAATTTTGGAGAACAATTATTTTCATGAAATATAATATTAATAAATATATTATTAATTATTTAGTAAGTACCTGTTATTAATTTTATTTTATCAACATTTTATTTTTAGTGAAATTAATAGATGTGTTACAATTTTGTGAAACATACTTCGGTATTTTATTATATATTCTTTTCAATCTTATCTTAATGTTGGATTGTGTGTACTTTCCTGCTTGAGATGTTTCTAAATCTGATCTCAATTAAGTGAATAAACTGTCTACTATACGACGTAATGATATGATACATGATTAATTCGTCGACTAAATTTAGTCCGTAATTAGAGCATACTAAATCTTACTTATATATTAACTTTGGTCACACTTGTTTTATTTAAGTTAAACTCTTGATCCTCCTCGAAAATTTCCAATCACTAAGCTATACACATGATCGGAGGAATGTATTAAAATAATTCGTCCCCATGTATGACAACATGAAACTCCAAAAATTAATAGACGCTATATGTTAAAGTGTGGTGATGATCTTTTCTAATACTATTATTATTGTTAATATTATATTTTTTATATAATAGTATTATTCGCATATCAATAAAATAAACTAAAGCTCTAGAGTTACGCATAGATGATATGAAAAAATATTTTAAACTCAAATAGATTTTGATTGTTGACTAACAATAAATTTAGATTTATTTGAAAAAATCCTTTTTATTAAAAAATGTATAACGAGTATACAATTGAAACTGATAATAAATATTATTATAGATTGTTATCACTCGTATTTACATACGTTTTATTCAAATTAAGATAAATTTATTATCACAGAGATTTAGAATTTCAAAGTAACATACACTTTGTAGATTCCATAATTATTAATAATAATTCTTTTTTAAAAAGTTTACAAGTTATCCACTATTTTTTTTTTTTTTAGCGGGAGAATGACCATAAAAGTATTTTAGTCCAGAACCGTTTTTAAAATGTGACAATAATGGCTTTTAAATTAAACAATATATATTTCTAACCCACTTTTTCCAAAGATAAGTATATTGTATACTAATTAAACTGTATGATTTAAAACTCACATAATTAAAACGTGTATATTATTATTTATAATTATAACACATGCATGGGCGCCCATAGGTAATATTTTAGGGGGGTCAAAATAAAAAAGTTTTCGAATGTAAGATAATAAAGATTTAATGTTATTTTTCACAAATAAATGTATACACTATACATACATATTATATTTTTATTTGTATATATATAGTGTATTAATATAATAATTGCCATACGAATAAATTAATAAGTATATAAAAAAATAGAAATTAAATAATATAATTAAGTATATTATTCGGTATCAGTAAATAAGAACTGTAAATTTCTTCGTTTTATTCCAAACATATTAATGACATCCTGAATGAAAGTATCCTTGTTTGCGTTAGGTTAAAATATTTGTAGTACCTATATTGTGATCTTTATAGATTTACCACAAATTATCTGCGATAAATTATTTTACGTATAGGTTATACAGACTACAGAATACGACCTATCTATGATGTTAATATACAATAACAATGAGTATATTTTTATATTTATTTCATATCTTAAAAGTGATTTCAACAAATAATTTGCCTCGGTAATAAGGTAATATTGTGGTAATATTTTTTC